CAGTGTTTAGAAAGGACACTGAGTTAGTCTTTATCGTCTAGAGGCTAGGTATCAGTGTTTAGAAAGGACACTGAGTTAGTCGTTAACGTCTAGAGTCTAGGTATCAGTGTTTAGAAAGGACACTGAGTTAGTCGTTATCGTCGAGAGTCTAGGTATCAGTGTTTAGAAAGGACACTGAGTTAGTCGTTAACGTCTAGAGGCTAGGTACCAGTGTTTAGAAAGCTAGACGATTAACGACTAACTCAGTGTCCTCACTGATACCTAGTTTAGAAAGGACACTGAGTTAGTCGTTATCGTCTAGAGTCTAGATATCAGTGTTTAGAAAGGACACTGAGTTAGTCGTTATCGTCTAGAGTCTACCTCTAGACTACCTAGACTCTAGACGTTAACGACTAACTCAGTTTCCTTTCTAAACACTGGTACCTAGCCTTTCTAAACACTGCTAGACGATTAACGACTAACTCAGTGTAGTGTCCTTTCTAAACACTGATACCTAGCCTCTAAAAACCTTTACTTAGTTATCAATCTAGTTCTTTTTTCAGATATACTAATTATCACGAGAAGTACTATTAATAACACACAAACTGTCCTCTAGGGAAAACCATCTTTACGATATTTAATCTAGTCTGTACAGGTTTTCTTATAAAGCAGTCTTAAGTGATATTTCCTTCTCTATAGGTCTGCCTGTTTGGAGCGAAGATGCAGCCGCCCCTGTGTACAGAGGGGCGGAGGATGAGTTGTCAGTTGCAGCCGCCGAGATCGTTGAGGTGAAGGAAGCCTTACCAACAGTGACAGTCCGTGGTTTCCTTAACTTCCGAACAACTATAGATAATACAGTGATTGTTTTTACACCAGCAAATGGTGGAAAGACTGAAAGTCCGAAACCCTCACCTGAAAAAACGCAGGTCCCTATTGTTGATAACACGAAGGTTCAAAACGTAGCCTTTACGCAGAGTCCAGGTTTACTGAAGCCTCATCGGTCAACGAAGGAACCTTATCGTCAAGAGGTTCTCAACAATGTCATCCCAACTTCACGTAACTTGTATCCAGCAAGAACACACTCTCCGCTGTCCCGTTCATCCTCCAAACCCCCGACTGCTCCTACAAGAGCACCACCTGTTCAGCCCCTGTATCCGACAGGTTTAGTGACTGTTTTGGGAGGGACCCTGGTCGAAGACGGAATAACCACCGTCCATGAAACCAGTGTTATTGGAACTTACATAGACGGAAAGTATGCCCAGATCCTACAGAGCACTTCAAGGATCCTACAGAGCTCTTCAAGAATCACCTTTGCTGCTTCAAGTACATCTTCGCAAGAACAATTCCGACCTTCTCCAACTCCTGCCGCTCCTCCTGAAACTACCACAAGTAGTCGTGATGATACGTTTCACCCTTCCTCACGGGATCATAAAACATTGAAACAAATTGTTCATCCGGACAGAGCTTCAGTTGCGTCAGATGAAGAGCTCGAGGGGTTGGAACCTAAGACTGATGATAGCATTTCCAGTAACACGGTTCTCCAGTCATCCTTTAAACCCCCTGAACTATTTCCACATCGACTGGACCGACCAACAGAATCTCTAGACACTGTTCATTCCAGCACTATGGTGACCTTAGCCATCCGTCCACGACAATCTAGTTCGTCCGAAGAGGAAAACACAGTTTTTATGCGCAGACAGCACAGAAGACCGTCATCCAGATTTCAGTACATCCCCAGACGAAGAAACACAAACACGGTGCGTACGTTAATCACATTGCACGTATGTGTCGTGTACTTGTGATGTTAAAAAAAAAAACCTCTGCCCATGACAACAACCATTGGAATGTGATTTGTTTACAAGTATAAATATATTTATATCTTTCTATGAACTTTATTAAAAACTGTGTGTCCTTTCTAAACACTGATACCTAGCCTCTAGAGGATAACGACTAATTCAGTGTCCTTTCTAAACACTAATACCTAGCCTCTAGACGTTAACGACTAACTCAGTTTCCTTTCTAAACACTGGTACCTAGCCTCTAGACTAACTCAGGGTGAATATTGTCTGTGGGGTAGGCTAAGGATAGGATATGACTGTTGACCAGGGTGAATATTGTCTGTAGGGAAGGCTAAGGATAGGATATGACTGTTGACCAGGGTGAATATTGTCTGTGGGGTAGGCTAAGGATAGGATATGACTGTTGATCAGGGTGAATATTGTCTGTGGGGTAGGCTAAGGATAGGATATGACTGTTGATCAGGGTGAATATTGTCTGTGGGTAGGCTAAGGATAGGATATGACTGTTGACCAGGGTGAATATTGCTAAGGATAGGATATGACTGTTGACCGGATATCTGTGGGGTAGGCTAAGGATAGGATATGACTGTTGACCATGGTGAATATTGTCTGTGGGGTAGACTAAGGATAGGATATGACTGTTGACCATGGTGAATATTGTCTGTGGGGTAGGTAACTATAGTGTTGAAATTTACATTCTGTAATGGCATGGCAGAAATAGCCCCATATAATGGAAAAAATGACAAAATATTCTCTTGTCTTAACACTTTTGTTCAATAAATATAAGTCCACCCACCCAAGTTTGGACTTTTGTTCAATAAATATAAGTCCACCCACCCAAGTTTGGACTTTTGTTCAATATATATGTATATAAGTCCACCCACACAAGTTTGGACTTTTGTTCAATATATATGTATATAAGTCCACCCACACAAGTTTGGACTTTTGTTCAATAAATATATATATATAAGTCCACCCACACAAGTTTGGACTTTTGTTCAATAAATATAAGTCCACCCACACAAGTTTGGACTTTTGTTCAATAAATATAAGTCCACCCACACAAGTTTGGACTTTTGTTCAATAAATATATATATAAGTCCACCCACACAAGTTTGGACTTTTGTTCAATAAATATAAGTCCACCCACACAAGTTTGGACTTTTGTTCAATAAATATATATATAAGTCCACCCACACAAGTTTGGACTTTTGTTCAATAAATATATATACAAGTCCACCCACACATTTCACTAAAATTATAATTAAAAATCCAAGGTCACGTGACCGTGTTTATCTAAATTGAACTTCAGAACGCTTCAAACAAGAGGATATCATGGTAACAAAAACGGCCCTTACAACGATTTTCAACAACTGATTTGTGATGAAACGAAAATCAGCACTCGTGACCAGAAAAACTCATTATGACGTTTTCCACAAAGTCCATTAGATATTTGTAAATAATAAGTCGAGTAGGTTCTATACAAGGGTCGATGTAATGGTAAATCGAATTTATCTTTAACCTCGATGTTTTTATCAAGCTATTAAATTAATTTCTTCTAGCATATACCGGTACCATATGCTAGCTTCTTTCTCTGTAGTTAAGACTCTACATGGGGTACCAAGACAGTTATTACAGACCCTAAATTTCATCAGTATTTTCATTCAAGCAGAACCCTTATGACATGCCCTTGGTACAAGTATATGGGAGTTCTAAAGAATGATAAGTATTCTCCCCCTGGTTCATTCAGTTGTCAACAGGGATCAGTGAAGCAGTTGCAAATATCTCCTGTTGCCTCAGCAGAAAAACACCCCAAACCATCACACTGCTTCCCCCATGCTTCGTGGTAGGTGCTATGCATTGAGGTAAGTATATTTCACCTTTCTTCCGCTAGATGTACAACTATGCTTTGAACCAGACATTTCAAACTTGGACTCATCCGTCCATAATACCCTTTTTCAATCATCAATAGTTCAGTTTGTACTTTTCAGTCTCTTGACAATATTTGGAGATCGAAGTGAAGGTTTTTTAACTGCTACACAACCAAATATTCCATTCCTGTTGAGTCTTCTTGATACTGTAGATCTGAACACTTTTCTGTCATTTGGTCGTTTATCTCATGCTTGAGATCAGTGGCAGTCTTCCTTCTGTCCGGAAGGTTGCATAAACGAAGATACTTAACATCAGTATCGTTGAGTTTAGGTGTTCTGCCTCTTCCTTTCCTATTTTCAAATTTACCTCTTTCGGTCTCACGATCTAGGTTGTACTTCACAGTGTTTGGGAAGAATTTCAAGTCTACAGCAATTTGTCGGAGAGTCCAACCGGTATCAAGTAAAGCTTTTTGGGCCGTGGCATGACAACAAAACTTAATATATATATAGTGTTAAACATTAAATAGATGGAATAATGGACCCAGCTCAAGTACC